ATATACGGTTTATCCTGGAAAAGTATACTGTTCGCAATATAAAATATAAAACAATATACTGTTTATTAGTATAAAACATACGGTTTTTCTACTGTTTACAAGTATAAAACATACGGGTGAAACTGGAAAAATATACTATATGCAAACCGTATATATGATACGGTGTGCAGAATACCGAATATATACAGTATGTGAAAATACTGTAATTATACGGTAATAATACTATAAATATACTGTTCGCAAAATACGAAAATACAGTATACTAACCGTATATATATTTTTTATAGGGGTATAGATGCAGTGCTCCCATTTTATGGAAACATGTTAAGCTAAAGGAAAAAGGTAAGAAAAATTACTGGCAACTGAATCGAACCCAATTGGAAAATTTTATAAAAATAGTGCATAAAAGACAAAAACCAATTTATAGTTCAAGTATAACACATCGTAAAATTTCATATTACCATTCACTTTTAGATAAAAAAATCAAAGACATTGTGAGTTTATGTCCAAATATAATCCATTTGAATTTTAAAAGAAGTACAGGTTTTTCTGATAAAGCACTAATTCTGATAGTAGAAGCATACCCTAATTTAAGATATCTTAATTTATGTAATTATGCAAATATTAATACCATTTTTTCTCAAAAAATAACTGATAAAGGTCTGTTTGCTTTAGCAAATACATGCTGTAAATTAGAATATCTAAATATTTATCTGCATGCAGAATTTACTGAAACATCAATCTGTAATATTATTCATTCTTGCCTAAGGCTTCAACATCTTGACCTTAGCTATTGTGAAGTTACTAATGAGATTATCAAGGAAATTGCTTATTCATGTCTTAATTTAAAATACCTTAATCTGGATGAATGTAATAATATTAGTAAAGAAGCTATAAATCAGCTCGTTTCACTTAATCCAAATATCCATGTTGAGAATTTTGAGAATACTATAATGCCAGCCTCTTTTGATGTCCCAGATAGGATGTATGTACTCGCAAGGCGTCTGGAAATGCCATTTGATGCATTAAGAAATGTTGCATCTTTAGATAATTATATTAACGATGAATTAATAAAGAGATTAAACATTGTGAGTGACTTTACACTAGAACTACATGCCTCTAATACTCACGATCAACCTTGAAGTGGTGAATAGATGTCTATTTTTTATATTTGAATATTATATGCCATAATAAAATGGTATTTGTGAATTGTGTAGTCGAAGAAAATATCCTTATTGAGGTATCAATTGATACGTGCACTAATATAAATTGCATTAGCCAAAAACATATTGGTGAATTAGGAATTACATATCCCAGTGAAAGCAATAGCATTATAACTCCAGATGCATCCTATTCTACATTAGAAAAAGTCAATCTGCATATTGGTTTTGAAGATGGTGAAAAGCATAAAAGCACATTTGTTGAATTTATAGTTCTTGGATCAGATTGGCCTGATTATTTTTCTGACTTAGTATTGGGAATACTATGGTTATGAGAAAATGGTGCAACTTTGGATATATGCAATTTAAAACTATTATTAGATGATAATTTTGCGATCCTATTCAAAAAAGTAAAATATGAACCTAATGCAGAATAATGATTATCCGAAGCAGTAATCATCAATATGCGTAATTTTATTTTTTGTTAAAGATATAGCATATGTTATTTATAGCGCATTTGGATGTTATAAATTTACCAGAATTATTAGAGCGGATTCTATATTTCCTAGTGATAGATAAGTCACTATATTCCGCTCTATTTGTTTTTCGATTATGATACAGATGCGGTGTCCCTATTTTATGGAAACGTATCGAGCTAAAGTGGGAAAATAAATGTCACTCTCCATTGAAAAAATTTATGAAAATATGTAGTACAAAAAAGACAAAAGCCAGTTTATAGCTCAAATTTAACTCATCTAAAAATTTCAAACTACCATCCACTTTCAGATAAAAAATTGAATGGTATTGCGCATTTATTTCCAAATATAGTCCATTTAAATTTAAATTTTGGCACAGGATTTAGCGATAAAACACTAAATTGAGTAGCAGAGACATACCCCAATCTGAAGTATCTCAATTTGCAAAAGAGTAAGTACGAATGCTTTAATGGTGGGAAAGTGACTGATAAAGGTCTATGTGCAATTGCACGGTCATATCATAAACTAGAATATCTAAATATTTCTTGTAATACAGAGATTATTGGGATATCGATTTGTAATATTATCCATTCTTGCCCAAGACTTCAACATCTTGAATTTAGCTATTGCGAATTTACTAATAAGATTATCAAAGAAATTGCTAGTTCGTGTCTTAATTTAAAGTATCTTAAATTGGAAGGGTGTGATGTTAGCAAAAAAGCCATAGGTCAGCTCGTTTCACTTAATCCAAATTTTCATGTTGAGAATTTCATGTGTACTATAACACCACCCTCTCTTTGTGAATATCCTGAAATGTATGTAATGTCAAGGAGACTGAGAATATCAGTTGATGCATCAAGAGATATTAAGTCCATACATGAATATGTTAATGATGAACTGAAAAGAATGGAGGATGATTTGATCTGGAATACTGATCATCAATCCGGGCAATGATCATCAGCTCAGAAGATTTTTTTTGTTTGAAGATATAATATATAATAAGCATTATTTATGGCGTAAACTTTAAATTGGATATACCGGCAACCTAACAGACGATTATCAAGAATAGAATACTAGCCGATGGTAGTCTACCGATCTAATTAATCTGGAGTAGTGATCGCCAGTTCAGAAGATTTTTTTTTGCTGAGCCACAATGCATGTACTCCTGTGTAATAGAAACAAGCAATAATTAACCTATTTTTCTGATTGAAAATATTTAATCAATCTACTAGCAAAATGTCAGATGACGAGATAGATACCAAGATAGAAGCCAAAAAATATGGATTGAGATATGAATGGGATAATGAAGGGAATTCTGGATTATTTATACCAGAGTGGAAAGGATGGGATGATCTTTTTTGTGAAATCAAAATCTATTGAAACACAAAGGCAGTTAGGCATTGGAAAAAGAAAGCGCTTAAGCAATTTGTATATAGTCTGCCCAATGTAAGAAATCCATCATCATTATTTTATATATTTATACATTCTGATGCTTTCTATCTTCCACATATTTTGAGTCTAATAGAATTACCATATTATTCACATAAATTTTGATGAGAAATATGGCTGGAGGGTATTGAGAAACCCCGATGTAGATTGCTTATTCAAGGTGAAAAATCAATAGTGGATTACTGTTTAAAGGCAAAAAAATGTAATAATATTGTCAAACTCTGTAAAGATCATTTTAGAAGTGAATTCTATAGTGGATTAACATGAGAAAATATGAGATGTATTGCAAAAAATGTTTATTATCGTGAATTGGTAGAAATGCTTATTCAGGTGAAAAAAGAATCGGTGACTGGTATTATAACTGGGTTTAAAGATTATATTAGTCAGTCCAGTATTGCTAATCTGAATGGGGTACAATACTTATTGAGAGGTATACATTGGATAACTAACCTGAGCAAAGTCCAGAGCAGTGATCACCAGCTCGGAAGAATTTGCTGAGCCTCAATACATGTACTCATGTGCGACAAAAATAGGTGATCATTAGACAGAGCTCGTGTAACATTAATCTTGCATATACATTCAAAAAGAAAATATATTAACCTTTATTCTTTATTTTTTCCAAATAAACATGAGAAAAATATGAAAGAGCGTCTAGTTGCAACACAGGACTTACCCTACAAGTAAATAGTGCTGGTAAAAGCATATGTTATGAAAGGCTGAGGGACTTGCAATTCTGAGATTGCCAGGCGTAAAACTAACTATATGTCTTTTCGGTAGATCTCCATGTGAAAAAGGTATGAGATTCCATTTGCATGTGCTTTCATAGAGCTCTTGGCATCAGACAACAATGCTAATAATGTCTCATACCTCCTTAACTTTTTCCCAACAAGAATGGTATGTGAAAGTTCAGCCAACTTTCTGCAAAAAACATTTCCGTAAAAAATAACGCAAAATAAGGTATGTACAGTATATGTTCTTTAATGCGAGTGGGCCAAGCAATTTTCTCACTATTGGATTCTTGCATTTAGGAGTCGAAATGGACGATAATAACATTACTATCAATTGTCTTATCGTTCCTATAGGCAAACTTATGAATATTCCATGCATTAAAGTAATGCAATCAATTACAATTCGCAGAGGTGATCGTTATAGTGATCTCGAGACTGCAATTCAAAGTAGATTGGGGGCACTATTTAATAAAATCCCTCTCAAAATTTGTATAATTCGAGCCGGAAGCGTTATTGAAATGGAAATGGACATGCATGAGGATTTTATTGATATTTTTACTGAGGAACCTAAAGCAGAGCACTTCCATTTCACTGTTTACCCCAAATAATTTTCTGTATCATGTAGCGATATATTCGCAATTTTTATGTAATGTAGGCCGGCTTGGTCCCTCTGGGACCCTTCCGGCAAGGTTTTTTTATTTTTTAAATAAAGCATATATTATGTTCTTTTCGTAAATCTTGAAAAATGTCACGTGTAATGATGTAATGCCTGTGCGACATAAAAACATATATTAGCGCTTGTTTTTCCCATCCCAGAATTTTATCTCACTCCGGAAAGTAACACTATTTTTTTGTCCGAGCCTAATAACCATATAAAAGCGCTATGTCTGAAACTAGTACACCTTATACTCCAGCTTCCACCTCAACTTCTGTTGCTGGAAATGAGACGGTCGCTCTGGCGGATGAAATTAAAAAATATAAAACGGAGGCTCTTATCGACTTCTTACGTAAGGAGGAAGACTTGGGTCTTAACGACGATGACTTTGAGATAATTCGCAAGCGAAAAATAATGGGTCGTGACTTCCTTAAGACGAGCAAAGAAGAGTTTGAACATTGTGGGTTGGAAATGGGACCGGCGAAAAGACTCGCGGACTTCGCTAAGGAGTGTAAGGATAAAAAATTAAAAGCGTTCTCGTCGTACCTCAGTTTGAGTGAGGTGTTAGCGGAATATGGTCTTGACTCCGATGGTATAGATTCTATCCCGCTCTTTTCTCCCCCAACATATGAAATTCAAGATAGCAATAAAGTAGCGTTGCATGGAAGAGATTTTGGGCAGTACGGAACTTTACAGCCAGACAGCTTGGAGGCTATGCGAAATGAATATGTCGTAGCGCTTCTTCACGCTTCCATCCATATCGTCATGGATATAACAGACAAGGAGCTTAGCATGCGTCCTCAGTATGGAATAGTTGGTGAAGAAAGCCGAGGCCGGGTCGATTTTGCAATAAAGGTAAAATTTTTTTGTTATTCCAGCTATACTCGCAATTATGTTAACTTACCACTAACACGAACTATGGAATATATGGATAGGAGGCTGAAGACCTTATCTGTATCACGGAGGATAAACAACATAAGGTTCCTGTAGGCATCGCTCAGAATATCAAACAGCTTAAGAGCGCATGCGAGACGAACAAGAGAAAGAGAAAGCGGGGCGATGATGATTTCGATTACCTCTATGGTATTGTCACAACAGGTCGGGACTGGCATTTCCTTTTATATAGCCCCGGAAAAATATATAAGGCAAGTGATACTGCGTATTCGATCGAATTTATAAAGAAGGCTTTAGACCCAAACTCAGAGGAATACCAGTCATTGTGTAAGAATGTGAGAAAGGTTTTGGGCATTATTGTGGGTTTGTTAAAAGATAGGGCATGTGCGGAAGAAGAGCCAGAAAGGAAGAGGGTTAGAATAGAGGGTTATCGTTCAAAAAAATAATTAGCCGTAATTAGCACATCATGTATCCCGGGCAAAGTCCCGAACATTTGTATTTATTTTTCGCATGAATTAATAAAAAATTTTCTTGGCAATTTTCCGGGACATAATGTCTCGGAAATTTCTTGGCAAAAGTGATCAATTGTTCACGCGCACGTGATTTTTTTTATTTGAAATTTTGCCGAAAAAAGATGCACAGTCGCCGTTCAGATTGTCTTCACTATCTCACAAAAAAGCAAACATGACGATATAGATAATATATGGGGGTAATAATAACAGATGCGGAAAAATGATATTTCATGGAATGAACGCTAGACAGTGAAGTGAAACCGTCGTTCGAGTTATCGAACCCCTTATTTGCGTACTAAGATGAAGATATGGAAGACAAGGCGGAGAGAGTCCTTTGTCATATTATATCGCTACTGGAAGAGGCGCAGAAGCCGGTGATACCTTCACAAAGTGGGAGGGATCAAGAGAAATAAAAAGGGTAAGGTCAACGGGCGATCTTGCGGAAAATTGAATTAGGATCTGGATTTTGTCAACATATGAATGTACACTATTTAGCATAGAACTGGCATGTATCACGGGTTTGCATTGTATTTATTTTTTGTCGCATGTATTAATAAAAAATTCGCAATGCAATATTTCTAGCTCATAAATTTTTTTTACTTTATTAAACATGCATGATATTGAATAAAATAAAGATTCTATTAATCGAATGATCAATAGTATTTATTAGGAGTCAATTTCCATTTTGTCCACTTGATCATCTTGATAATCTAAAAACTCTGATAAATCATACCCAAGCAAATTTTCTTTGCCTAGTAATCGAATATCCTCTTTATTTCCATTAGGATATATTAGCTGAACAGATTCAAAATTTTCGCCACAAATAACATAAATATCATTTCTTTTACGTTTCTCTGACTCTGGAGCTTCCATCTTACTATTTCGAATATCGATGATCGCCCACTGTTTTGTGTGTTTAAGGATAGGAACATATATGCCACCTCTTTGAAATCTTTGTTGATGTTCATTTAACTTTACTCCGTCTCTCAATAGCTCAATAGCCCAGTGACGCTTATCATTTACGTAAAAATCCACATATCCCTTTGATCCAAACACTTTTCCAACATCTACAGAAGGATAGATGTCTTCGGGAAGAACTTGCAATGAAGCACGGTAGAACTCCATTTGCCACACACGCTCAAAAAGTCGACCATCTTTGCCTTTACCCTTGCTATTCTGCAATATTTTTGGGTTCATATTTGTGAATACCGATTTGATAAAATCTTTGAATGTTTTAGGTGGCGATTCAGATCGTACCACATAACCAAAACGATCTTGAAGGTATGTAGCTCTAAGCAATGGTGCAGGAAAATCAAGAACTGAACGACCTATTTTTCCTCCAATATCAACAAGAACATTTGTCTTAATAATTCGACCATTGCATGGAATCCTGTTGGTCTGAATTTTAAGACCTTTTTTAAAAAGCACTTTATCAATAATCATCATCTCTTCGCTTGACATATCATTAACTTGCGGAGTAGCACGAATACCCTGAATACATCGTGTACAGATTGTTAATAATATTTTGGTCATTTAGAATTATCAAAATTTTATATACATTTACTTACCTTAAGATGAGAATAAAAATTATATGATTTGAGATATGCAAAAATATCACCAAATTCCAGTTTATGAGGCCGTTTGACAAATCTTCTGATAATTTCGTCCATAGTGAAAGCAACTAATCCAGGATGAAAAGCCGTTATTTCACGTACATAATTATGAAGAAACGGAATGTCATCTTTTTTCAACATTTGAAGATGCATTTCACAGAATTTATTAAAGTAATCACTAAACTCTTCTTCGGTGAAGCGAACATCTGCAAATCCCCATGTATTGTCTTTATGAAGAATAGATGGTGGCGAAATATCCATAATTGAATGATCTCCATGAACAGTGTAGGCGCCGTAATGTCCATAAGAAGCAAATGCTACTATGTGCAAATTTGACAAGTATTGATTCACTTCTTTAAATGTTTCCCAAAAAATGTTTCCACCATTACGAGGTTCACTTTCATTCTGTGGCTTATAAATTAACTGCACCTCATCAACTATCAAAACTACATCAGTATCGCTATCTCTACATAGCTGTATAAATTCACCCCATTCCATGCCCATAAGCGCTTTAAACCCCTCTGTAAATGTCCATTCCATTCCACGCTTTACCATCCACATTAAAGAAATACGAAATACACATCTAAATCCTTTCTTCGCTTCGTCAGATTGAAGAATGTTATACTCCAATAGTTGTGCAAGTGAAGTTTTGCCAGCCATTGGTGGCGATCGAACTAGAATAATACGTTTCTTAAATAGATCATAAAGCAGTCTCTTAATGGTTGACTTTCTCTGACATATATTATCAATGTGAGTAAGATCAAGACCTTCGTAGCCCAAACCATCTTCCCTTTTTTTCATCTTTGTTCCTCCAAGACCTCCTATTCAATGCAAAATAGGAAAATAATATGAATCAAATGTACATTAGCTTGAAAGTTAAAAGACAATGGCTTTATACCTAGTCTTGATATTCCCTTGATTTTGGGTGCGTCTGTTAAAGTGAAAGCGAATAAGAAATAAAATAAGTTAGTTATCGTTACAAAAAAGGTAACTTTGTTCGAGAAGTAAACCATTGGGAGACACTTACCAGTGGTGGCGGGCGGTGGTGGTTCCACGATGATAAAATGGATGGACGAAGGTTCAGAGATCCAATCTTCTCCTTTAAAATAATCAGTTGGGTCCAATTCCTCGCCAAGTTCATTTGTAATGTCAGTTTGATTACGATACTTTTCATTAAGTTCACACAACTTCGAGTTTTTTTCATTGCACGGAATCTTAACATGATATAATTCCAGTTCACAAGCTTTACCGGCACTTTCTTTACTCTTGATTGTACTCCATATCATTTTCTTGATATGATCGTATGTGAGCGTATTAGCAGGAACAGTATAAATGTCATCAGGCATGGCGTTATGATCGCAAATGGTCACGGTTGACTTTTTAGCGGTACCTAGAACAAAAAAAGGTAATACTTGTCTGGCCATATTTCTATAAAGTAAGAGAGAGAAAGAGCTTGGAAATTTTGGTAACTATGAATTGTAGGGAGACGCGTTATATATATATATGTGAAAAAATCAAATTTTGAGTCATTGCCTTGATACGATGTGTCATACGTTATCATACCTTCCGCCATAATAACTATCCGCTGAATCATTTTTTATCAAACCATTTGACATTTTATTGTGTTATCGTTGGCACGTTATGACAAAACACGACAGCAAATTACTTCTATTTGACCTCAAACCCTTGCCAGTTCGATTGGCGTATTCGTGTGAATTTTTATACCAATAAAACGAAAAAAAAAATTTTCATCGGGGCAAACAACCCGGATATTTATATAAAATTTTCGAACTTGTTCCTAATTTAGTTGTTCGTGCAACAGAACGATTTAAAAAAGTAAAAGCGCATTACCAAGCCTTAATATTATTTTCTCCGGTTTAAAGTATCGCAGTTTGAAAGTGACATTTTATTGTGTTATCGTTGGCACGTTATGACAAAACACGACAGCAAATTACTTCTATTTGACCTCAAACCCTTGCCAGTTCGATTGGCGTATTCGTGTGAATTTTTATACCAATAAAACGAAAAAAAAAATTTTCATCGGGGCAAACAACCCGGATATTTATATAAAATTTTCGAACTTGTTCCTAATTTAGTTGTTCGTGCAACAGAACGATTTAAAAAAGTAAAAGCGCCTTAATATTATTTTCTCCGGTGGGATGTCGTAATTTGGGATGTCATAATTAATTAATAATTTAAAATGCTATAATTAATTTAAAATAATATAATTAATTTGAAATATTACGACTTATACATTTAAAATATCTTAATTAATTTATTTAAAATTTGAATTAAAATTATAAAATTATAATAATTATATTATGAAATTAGATTTTTAAAATTAAAATATAAAAGAATATTATAATTATTTTGAAATATCATAATTATTTTGGAATGTTATAATTTATAATTATTTTAGAATATTATAATTATTTTAAAATGTTATATAATTAATTTGGGATGTCATAATTATTTTGGGATGCCATAATAATTTGGGATTTGTACATTTGGGATGCCATAATTAATTTGGGATTTGGGATTTGTTTAATATATTTTTGGCAACATGTATATATCCTTGGGTAGTACTTGAGTTTCTCCTGCTCCACAAATACTCAATTTGATTGATGATTGCGAACTGCTTGTATTGGTTTCAGTTTTCGCAGAATCTTCTAGGGGCATAGAGAAATTATTCTGGAAAATTGAGAGCTTATCCTGATCTTGGCTTGAATATGTTGATCCACACAAAAGTTTTTTCTCTCTATTGCGTTGTCTCATCATATCACTAACCTCCTTCTTACTTACCGAAATCAGGAATTCATCGGTCTGTCTATCCTTCAATAATTTAGACCCTGCATGAGTGGGTTGAGTTACATCAGAGCTATTCTCAGAGTTACCCTCAATAGGCGGCGAAATGGATGATTGGGAAGTCACCTGTAATTCTGAACGAGTGGGAGATTTCACCACGGATGTCCCGTCTTGCACCAAAATATTAATAGCAATTTGCTCCTGTTTGATTTTCCCGACATCACAATTTAGTTCTGCAATGAGCTCAGCCTTTTCTTTATCGCTCTGCTCTAGTTTTATGAATCTGGCTTCATTCTCTTCCATAGCCTGCCTTAATTTAGCATTTTTGGCTTTAACCTCGGCATTCTCAGCCTTAATTTCAGCATTCTCGGCCAGGAGCTCGATGATGCGTTGTTTCAATGAATCAAGTTCGGATTGCATACTCGATAATAACTTTCATATAGAATGTGGTTTATTTAAAATGCATTTTACCCAAGTGGGACTTTAGGTCTCACTTTTTTTATTCACCATACATCTCCATATCCCACGAAAATATACTTGATACAATGTATAGCATTTTCGGCTTGAATTCTTCATTGATGCAGTAAATAAATTATATGATTCGATGATACATAGACTTGTTTTACAATGTGAAGTAGCGGGGTTTCTACATTAATACCTACAGATCACACCAGTTTTTCGTTCTTCTAAACTATCTATACTAACACAATATCCCAACTCTAAGCCGATTTAATTTGTCCCCAACATCGTTATTCTGGATAAAATAAATGGTCGTTAGGTCAGAAATAAATTAACAATATTGACCTTAGTAAAACTCACTGAAAGTTTATGTTCTCCGCCTAATAAGATTCTCTGAATTTCTGAACAAAAAAATAGATATTAGCTTTGCAAGCATGGGTCACTTCCTTGCAAATTCATCGACAAATCCGAAGAAGCAACAACTCACTCCGCTCTTATTGGAGAAAGACGGAGTCAGATTCTGGAAGGTGAATTGAAAGATGAGATAAAGGTACGAAATATTCATACCTGAATTGCGTAATGTCTCCTCCGGAGCTTCAACAATTCTTTCGTCAACACTTCTTTCAAACTGCGATACGTCCAGTTCTTTTAAAAATTAATTATAGCATTTCAAATTAATTATAGCATTTCAAATTTATTTATATTTATAGATTATCAAAATATGATTATCAAAAATATAATGATTTTATAATATGATAATCTTGTAATATCTTTTTTTTAAAAAAAAAAAAAAATTTAAATTACAAAAAATATGGAAGTTAATTCAACAATTCTATAATTATAAAAAATAGAAGTTTATTTAACAATACTGAAATAAATTAAAGTAAGTGAAAATTAATATAAAATTAATTCAATAATTTTAATAAATTTTATTTAAAATATAGAAATTAATTCAACAATTTTATAATTTATAAATTATAGAAGTTTATTCAACTATATTAAACAAATTAAAATAAATAGTTACAGATAATTACAGTATAGTACATCACAGATAATTATTTTTATATTGTTTATTAATTTTTAAATTTTATTTAAAATATAGAAATATAATTTATGAAGTATAGAAGTTTATTCAATGATACTGATGCAAATTAAGATAAGTAAAAATCATATGTTACAGATAATTACAATATAGTACATCACAGATAATTATTTTTATATTGTTTATTAATTTTTAAATTTTATTTAAAATATAGAAATATAATTTATGAAGTATAGAAGTTTATTCAACGATACTGATGCAAATTAAGATAAGTAAAAATCATATGTTACAGATAATTACAATATAGTACATCACAGATAATTATTTTTATATTGTTTATTAATTTTTAAATTTTATTTAAAATATAGAAATATAATTTATGAAGTATAGAAGTTTATTCAATGATACTGATGCAAATTAAGATAAGTAAAAATCATATGTTACAGATAATTACAGTATAGTACATCACAGATAATTATTTTTATATTGTTTATTAATTTTTAAATTTTATTTAAAATATAGAAATATAATTTATGAAGTATAGAAGTTTATTCAATGATACTGATGCAAATTAAGATAAGTAAAAATCATATGTTACAGATAATTACAATATAGTACATCACAGATAATTATTTTTATATTGTTTATTAATTTTTAAATTTTATTTAAAATATAGAAATATAATTTATGAAGTATAGAAGTTTATTCAACGATACTGATGCAAATTAAGATAAGTAAAAATCATATGTTACAGATAATTACAGTATAGTACATTACAGATAATTATTTTTATATTGTTTATTAATTTTAAATTCTATTTAAAATATAGAAATAATTCAAAAATTTTATAATTTATGGAATATAGAAGTTTATTCAATGATACTGTATAATGCATGCAGATAAAAGTTCTTAATTATTTTTATGTTATTTATTATTAATTTAAAACCGTATACATATTTTTTATAGGGTTTCCAACTCTTTTTTTTCTCCATTTTTTCTTATATATAAAAACTACTATAACCACTATGACCACTATGACCAGACTACTAAAAAGTGGATAAAAATACGAATAAAGCCAAAATCAAACAGAATATCCAGTCATAGTTCTGGCCACAGTTCGAAAAACTTATGATAATACTATGGCCACCTTAGTTAGCTTTTCAGGCTCCAAAACCTGATTCATGCTATGACCACTTTTTATCTACTTGCCTGAGACACCAAACTATGACCACCGAACTATGACTGCCGAACTATGACCACTGAACTATGACCACCAAACTATGACCGCCGAACTATGATTACCTTTTATCTACTTACCTGGGAGGCTGGGACGCCGAACTATGATTGCTGAACTACGACCACTGAACTATGGCCACTTGTTTCGTCAGAAAAAATAAGTAATTGAACAATGGGTATATCAAGACGATTCAGATGATGAAGAATACTTTTAGAAGACAGTACTAATCCGTTTTCCTTTTTTTTGCCTCCTTAAGGCATTTATCAATACACTGCTTACACGTGTCATTAGCATCTAAAATTTTCTGTCCAATTTTCTTGCATTGCCAATTGTGAGCCGTCTAATGCCTTTTGGCAGCAGTTTCTTTTTTCTTCTCCTTGGTTTTCTTTTTGATAACCCATTCTACTCCAGTAAAAATATTCTTATGCATACCACAAACTACACAGTTACCATGTAAATGATAACGTCCATTTGTGGTCATATCTTGTATTTCACTAGCAGTCTTGGTTTCCTTCTTACACTTTAGACAGTAAAATCGGGTTAGGGTTAGGGTTAGGGTTAGGGTTAGGGTTAGGGTTAGGGTTAGGGTTAGGGTTAGGGTTAGGGTTAGGGTTAGGGTTAGGGTTAGGGT